TTTTCAATTTTCTGCCAGCCACTGGACTTCTCCAGCACTTCTTTTCCACAACAGGCTGCACTAGCTCCTACTCAATGTTCTTAACAATTGCATGCCAGTAGTTCAACCTTGTTTGGCCTTTCTGTACATTATCCATCTCGCTGAAGAAAAAAAAAAAATTAATACCGAACCATTTGGAAAATAAAATTACCAAAATAGAATCCCCAGCATTCCCACATCTCTACAAGATGCCTCTCCACTTTCACAGCAAGTCATGTCAAATTATTAGAAAAAAGCTCCACCTTTCACACCAGTCTCTCTGGTATCTTTCAATGACTTGAAGACTAAGGATATTTAACTTCAGGTATTTAACTTCAAAACAGACCAAAAAAAAATTTCTTCAAATTAAGCATACAGTTATCTGATTCAAGTAATTCATTTTAGAAGGGCTATTTTAAAATATATTTTTAATTTTATTCATTTGTATTTCAAAAACAGCAAAATTTTTAAAGCTTTATTATTTCATTTTTTCAATTGATCTAGAAGCTAACTCATCATTGTAAATAAAGCAAATCAATTCTAACTGGCATCTCCAGCTTTACTGAAACTTTTCAACATTAACAAACAAGCATGAAGACCTTAGCTACAGTGACTGAATTCTTCTGATTCTCTATGCAACAGAGTTAAAGATGCCTAGAAATCAAACCCAAACAATTAGAAAAGCTGCATAGGAAGAGGACAAAAGTAAGAACTTGTCTTCATGCTACAGTTAGGAAGGATCCCATTATTGTCTAAATTCTTCTAGATTAGTTTTCACACATGGAACGTCTTCCTCACCAGCAAGAAATGTATATGCATTGTAAAGTCATCTACGAATGCGGCAGTCAGATATTAGCCGGGGGAGAAATGGTTTAATTACACAAGCCAAATATTTTAAAAAATTTTTAAAAATAATAATAATTTTAAAAAAAGCTGGAATGTAAAAAAAGTAACTTGGGTGGTTTTTGAGTAGTTTCAAAATGTGTGGGTTTTGATTAAATACACGGTTTGAAGAAATTAAAATTCATTTTATTACCACAGTAGTGAGTTGACACGAAGAGTTGGCTCCTATCTACACCATTACCATGCTGTAACTTACTATCTAGGCATGAGCAATAAAGCTTTTCCCCGCCCGTGCTGGTAGCGGTCAGACACCCAGGCGAGGTTTCTGTCTCAAGGGAAGAACAGGCGCGGGGACAACCCGGCCGCCCTCGGGGACACGGCGCGACCGCAGCGCGGCCCCGCGGAGCGCCCCGCCCGCCCCACAGCGCCCGCGGCCCGCGCGCCCCCTGCCGGCCCGCGGCCGCCAGCCCGCGCTGCGCGGCAACCGCGCTCTGCTGGGCAGAACAGGGAAATCCGCTCCCCCGCACCAAAATCACCCCCAGGATTTCACATTTTGATCCTGCTCTGCACCACCAGCGTTAACCCCCGGCGCTGCGCTAGAATACGGAAAGCTGCTGCCTTTCACCACGTGCCCCCAGTACTGCAGTCATACTTGCTTATGCCTACATGCTAACTTGGTCCATATGGTTTTGCTTCCTCCTCTGTCCTTCACAACACAAAAAACATTTCATCCTATAGTGAAAACGTAAATCTTCCCGAACGAAAAGGCGAGCCAAAGGAAATCTGACTGGGGAGCTTGCCTCATAGTGACAGCACAAGCATGAAGCCTCCCAACTGGATTTGTGCCATCCTTAGTCATGCACAGCTGGTGTTTGCTCACTAAAATACTCTGTTCATAAACAAGCAATCCCTACCCTATTATTGCTGCCATCTATTAATTCAACTTGTTTCTACTACAATAAATTGTCTCTGGCCAGGCAGCTTTCATAAATAGTCATTCTAGTCTGAATATGAATTGTCCTGGCACAAAACCCAAAAATTCTTCCCAAGTGCTCCTAGGGGAGCACAACTGACTGCTAGTACATCAAAAGAATGAAAAGAATCAGCTGTCAAACCAAGCAAGCAATTAACAATAGAACACAAGGGTAAAACTTCATGTTATTTCTTAACACAAAAAGAACATTGTATAGATTTATAGGCCTTGCTACAGGCCCAAGAGCTTATATATTTCTTAACTAATCCATCTGTAACAGGTAACCCAGGCTACCAAAAAAATGAATATTTCCAGGTAGGTATAAGAGGCTGCCCTGCTTGTCTTCCCTGGCTCAGAATCAAAAAACAAAACCAACTAACAAAAAACCAAAACAAAACAAAACAAAAAACCCATCAAACAACTCTGTCTTGGACATGGTATCTAGGCATCTAAATGAACTTCTGTCTTGAATTATTTACTCTGTAACCATGAGGTAAAAATATGCAAAGCAGACTGAGCACCAGCATGCAAGACTTTGAACTCTCAAATTCTAATCCCAGCTCTGCCAACAATCCCGTGAGACCGTGACAATGTCCAAGCCTCTGCTGATTCCTTAGTATTTCAGGCCATCACTACAATAACTGAAAAAGTTTCCATGTTAAAAAAAAAATTGAAATACATGTATCAGTAGAAACAGCGGGGGTTTTGTTTAGTTTTTTAACTACAGAAAGTAATTTTTAAAAGATGGATGTTTTCTTTTATCAAGAGGACAAAAAATCCATTACACTTTGACTGATAATCTTCTAACTTATGGAAACACCAAACAACAAGATGTCACAGCTGCTCCTGAAAGCAGCAAGAAACTACTCTAATCCAATCTCCTCTTAGAGGAGAGCATCTGTCACAGATCTCACTCACCAGAAAACAGTTTTCAATAATCTGTAACCTGTTTTATCTTAGAAAAAGAACACCAGTTACAAGCAGAGAACTTGTAACACAGACTAATGAAGGAAGCACAGACCATTATAGCCATGGTGACCTATTTTCCTCCACAAGTCCTTTCTTTCCTCCTTTAAGCAGTACATGAAGCTCAAGATCAGTTTCCATCAATTTGTGTTTTGTTTATAAGAGACATAAGGACAGATAATGAAGTCGCAGGGGCCTCCTAAAGCTCTGATTTACTAACAATCATTACTGCTTCTTCTGAAAGAGACAAACTTAACAATAGCAATGAAGAAACAAAAACCATGGCAAGGGGAGGCATAATCAATAGTCACTAGATGTAAAATAAAGGCATCCATTGCTGCATACCTGAAGACAAAGAAATTCACTATAAAATAGCAGAAATTCACTATAAAACAGCAGGAGGCACCAAGGGACTCTGAAAAAACACTTCCTTATTTACTTCATTCACCATTACAAAACTGAAAATTGCAATGATTTCTAGAATTCAGAGCACTGGACAGTTCCAGATGGAAACAAGGTCACAGAGATTCTAACTTTAAAATCTTATCTCACAAAACTAATGAACTGAAATCAATATGAGTACGTAAATGAACAAACCAGCAACTTCAAGCCCAAAGGTTAAACATAAACATGATGCATGCCATAATTATCTTAAGGAAAATAAACCACAGAAGAAAAAATATATTAATGTATGAACAAACAAAACAGTTGTTTATTTAATCCACCTTATTTCATACTTTCTAACTTGTAACTACATCAATGCACCACTTCACCACAGTAACAGCTTGCTAACCTGTGACCACCAGTTCACACAATTCACAGCTATTGCATCCATTTCAGCTGCTCTTTATTGATTAACATCCACCAGATGCTGGCCTCTAATTTCACACACCACCACATAATTGTAACATGAAAACTCCTGATAAAGGGCATAATCTCAAAACTTGTGTATGTCAGAATTACTAAGAGATACTTTAAATATATTTTTACAATGCATAAAACTGCATGTTTGAGAAGTATCAGACATCTTAAAAACTCATCAGCTGGCACAGAAAGTTATGTGCAACTGGTTGACAGGGTTTCCATGGAGCTACTCAACTACCATTCCACAACAGAGATCACACTGCAGACTGATTTTTTTTGCAAAAGTATTAGAGCAAATGCCATGTTTTAAAGTTGATTAGAAGGAACCATTTACGCAGTTTTGCTTTTCAAGATGACAGATTTTTCTCCGAGATCCAATTATTCCAACAGGCTACTTAAAACACAGAATTAAAGACTGTGAAATAAGATCAGATGCCATCACAAAGAGTACATATAACAGCTTTAAACACTCTTTTTATTAAATGTGACTGAGTTTGTGGAAATATTTTTTATTTTTTTACAAAATTCCTCCAGGAAGATTGCACATTGAATGTAGCCCTCACTCCTACCTGATGTTTTTTGGTTTACTTGTCTTTAACAACAAAAAGATGCTACATTTGCCTGACTAAAGTACTTGAGTATACTTTGTATTTAATGTTTTATGAGTACAAAGCCTGCATTATACACCCTCCCACTGCAAAGAAGGCTTGCTTCTGAGTTTATCAGTGTGCAGTAATGTGCACAGTGGAACGACTCCCAGTCTACAGCAGCAGGTGGGCATAACAAACACCTGTGGCTTTTACTCTTGAATGGTTTCTACCATGTATTTATAGTCAGGCAACGGTTTTAGAAATACTGAGCTGGGAAATCACTCAAAAAAATTGTATTTCTAAGCTTTAGGGAAGATACATAGGTTTTGGGGTCTTTTGCCTTAGCTGTTTATAAAGTATTTTTATACATAATTTCTCCAGAAACAGTAAACCTGTGGAGCTATAAAAAAAAAGGTTTTGGACACTATTCAGCACAAACTCCTATTTTGTTCAAGTCAGCGTTCTGACGTGATAGAATTATTTATTGACTCCAACCTGCAAAAGCATTCTCTATAAGGAAAAGGACAGAGCCAAACCCAGAAGTAGGACAAGATCTACTAAGTTATTCATGGTACTGATAAAATATAAACAAACTGACATAGACTCAAAAGCCCACCAAAAACAAAAGAGAAATTAACTAAATAAACACATTAATTACATTAAATGTATGTGACTGCCCTCAGCAGTAACCATTTTATTTATGACACACATTTCACATTAAGGCTGATAATTAAATGTTTACCTACCGAATCATTTGCTGCTAGGGCGAGGGCTATATTTACTGCAAGAAAGAAGAGGAGGAAAAACAAAGAGATTAAATGCAGAAAAAATTAATTCCTAAATATTGAGAATGTTATCACTGCTAACAAGAGAAAATATAAATAAGCACACTTATTTAATAATGACATCATCTCTTGGTTCTTAGCTTCTTGCATCTCTACAACATTAGCAGTTTAAGTGACAGCAGTACCTACATTTCAGTTCATGTTTGTTAACCAGCAAACAAACTCAAGCTAATCTGCAAAAACTTGGAGACTTGTAGTTTCTATAGGACACTGCAAAATAATAATACATCAGTGCTATAATGCCCAAAAGGTGGGAAGAATAATGCACAGAACTCCATGATATTAGAAGGCTAATTAATTATTTTATTATCCTATATTATACTATATTAAACTTACTTCTAACGACTGAAGAATACTAAAGAGAAACTCATGACTGTCTCCCAACAGCTATGCGTGATTGGCCAAGGAAACAAAACAGTTCTCAGCAGAATCCAATTACCAAATTCCTTCAGGTAAATAATCTTCCAACACATGTTCACAAACACAGGAGCAGCAAATGAGATAAGAATTGTTTTGATCATTCTTTTCTCCACTTCTCTCACAGCTTCTGTCTGTTCAGAGGGCATGTGAATACCACAATAATACAGTCTCAGTATTTTACCAAATAATAAAATTACAAAAAACTTTTCAAAGTAGCCACTTTTGAAAGGAGACACCATACTATAAAAAAAAATTACTGGCATCAGTAACCTTCACCACATTCTATAGTGAACTTTCATAAAACTAGAAATTAAGTAAGCATTGACATAAACTATTAGAACAAGTGACCAAAAAGATAATCATATCTCTTTTTTTGATTTCTTGTCATATATTGAATAGAGATGTTTTCTGGAAGAAGGTGAGATGCATGCTTTTCACTTTTTATGTCAGAAAACAAAGTCACATATACCTGAAAGCATCTGTAACTAAAAAAAAAAACAAAACAAAAAAAAAAAAAAAAAACCAAAGAGATGAAGCAACTAAAAAGACCATTTGTTTAAAGCTTTTACATTTCCATCAGTACTTAACTCTCATAAGTAAATAGCATGTGCAAATGGTATCTTTAATAGCTCATCAGCATCGGTTACATTGGGAGACCTCCTAGAAGCTTTGGTATAGAAAATAGAAAAAAAAAACAATCACAGTATTTAAATACGCATTGAAAAACACTGTTACAGTAACATAATTTCTTCTAATCATTGACTACAATTATTCCAGAAGACGAAAAAGCACTGGAAGCAACAGAGACTACAACATGAAAGCCATATGCAATAAACAGAATGAGTTATGCAACAGGTTAGGGAATGACCCTGACAAACTTGACCAGAATGCAGACACTCTTCTCCTGAAATGGAGATGCAGAGCAAATGAAACACAACTATACTGGAGAAAACACAAAAAAAAAAAAAAGCCCTGACAGGCCTGACATACACACAAGACTGATGATATTTCCTGTGGTGCTTTAGGAGTTAGAGGTGCTTACTAGTCTCCCTTCTTTTCAATTCCTGCTCTCAAAATGCATCAGCAGAATTGTCACCAAACATGTTCCCCACAAACCTCAACTAAGAGTATAATTTTAAGTACATAATTCAGTAATGATGCCATGCAATCCTTTTGTTTATACAACTTAGCTGATATTCAATTTTTCCTTTGAACGACGAAATTTATCCTCATTGTAGTCAACAAGAATATATCTTTCCTTCTCAATATTATGAATTAAAACATTCATTTAAAAAGGCTGTCCATTACAGTTACATGTAAATGCTTCATTTACATTTCCAATATCTTATTTAATGCCTGATTTTTTTTTATTTTTAAATGCACAGGAATGAACTCACAGCTGTAAGCATTATTTATACATGTCTTAAATTTTATGTAGAAACTGCACACAGATACCAGTCACAAGAACTTAAATTCAGATATTTGTTTGCAGACATGAGGACAATAATCTGAATTTGCTTTTCAAATTATGTTCATTTTGTAAACTGTCAATTGATGAACAGGTATTTGGTATTTTTAGTAACCTGCAACAACCAGTCTATGTATTATAATGACATACCTTTTGATGGTTAAGGAACACAAGTTTTAACTTTTTGCATGTCTTTGTATAGATAGGTGTATCCTATGTACAGGATAGACAATAGCTAAATAGAAAAAAAAAAACCTTTTTTTTTAAGAACAGTTGCTTTTATACAGATATGTTAGTCTGTTCTAGAAATTATTAGACAACTAGTCTGTTTCAAGCATGGCTAAAATACAAACACCAAAATTATACATTAAGAGCTACATCCATGTGTTATTCACAACACAAGATGATGAACAGCAGACATCCTTCAACTAAAGGATGATTCTTCTCCAGTCTAGATGCTAAGAAAGAGATCTTTAAACACATTTCTAACACTTTACAGACTTGTTTTCCAAGTAGCTTACTTTCAGTGGCACAGCATCATAGGATGGTTTGGGTTGGAAGCGCCCCTAAGGATGACCCAGCTTCAAACCCCTGCCATGGGCAGGGACACCTTCCCCTAGACAAGGTTGTCCAAAATCCCATCTAACCTGGCCTTGAATACTTCCAGGCATGAGACAACCACTCCTTGTCTGGGCAATCTGTTCCAGTGCCCCACCACCACCACGGTATAGAATTTCTTCCTAGCAGCTAATCTACATCTCTCCACTTCTGGCCTAGAACTACTCACCCTTGTCCTATCTGCCCACATAAAAAAGTCACACTCCTTCCTTTTCGTAAGCCCCCTTTAATTACTAGAAGGCTCTCTAAGAGTCTCCCCAAAGCCTTCTTTTCTCCAGGCTAAAAAATCCCAACTCTCTCAGCCTGTCTTCACAGCAGAGGTGCTCCAGCCCTCTGATCATCTTTGTGGTAGCTGTTGGACACATTCTCACAGGTCCTTCTTAGGCTGGAGGACCCAGACTGGGATGCAGTGCAGCCATCCAGCCAATTGCTAATCCACCAAGTGGTCCATCCATCAACTCCTGGTCTCTCCAGTTCAGAGACAAGGATGTAATGCAGGACACCGCCAAATGTTTTGCAGAAGTCCAGGTCGATGATACCAGTCATTCTTCCCTCAACCACTGTAGGAAGGCACAACACATGTTTTTTTGCACATGTTGGCACAACAAATATTTTTCCATTCCGTCATGTATTTAAGTTCAAGTCAATTTCTGCAGTATTAGTAACCCATGTACTATCTCAGTCTACCATCTAGGAACAGGTGGCAGAGAAAAAATGAAAGAAAAATTAATTCAAAACCTAATGGTAGAGTTGAGAGAAGACTTTAAGGTACTTCACAAGGCTCTGATCAATTTGTGTGGTTTATAAGTACTGTTTCACTTTTTCTTTATAAAACACCTACATAAGTAGTTGAGAAAATTGAACAGAGTCCTAATCTAGAAACTTTGTAAATATTAGTATCCTCTACAGAGGAAGGCACTGTAAGCACACGGAAGCATGGGAAGGAAGAACTGTGACACTGCACTAGCATATGATCCCTTTCACCTCCGCCTACATCAGCTCTTAAGATGCCCCAATGTCTCACGGCAGTGCTGCACTATTACAAAGATATGACTTCAAAACTAAATCCACACCTAAGTTAAAGCCAAGATTTCTGTATCCAAGTAAATTCTCAATGACTGCAACCCTTATCAGAGGTGAAGGGCAGTGTTATGGAACCCAATCACAACGCAATGACACAAGCGCCTAATATTCCATGCAAAATACTAGAAAATGTGCAAAGGAAATGATTAAAAAAAGAAAGAAATCTTACCTGCTGTTGTTGATTTTCCAACTCCCCCTTTTCCAGAAGCCACAACCACCACCTGCTTAACTCCTTCTATAGGCCTCTGCTTTGGCAGCCCTCGTGACAGGATCCGAGCACGTTTGTCCCTCAGAGCCTCATCCCCAGAGCTTGAGGACTAGGAAAAGCAAAAAGCAAGTGAATGCATGTGCACCAACCCGCAGTTCTCGCAGAGAAAACCGACAGGAGGGAAACTACACGCACACTGAGAAATTCTCACCACTTGTGTAAAAACATTCTGCACAGGGGCTCTCCCAAAGGGAGGCTGCTTCACAGGCAGGCAAGGACCGGGCCAACTTGAAATACACCAGTCACATATTTTTGTTTGTAAAACACTTAAATATGAGTGATCTTAACAGTCAAAGAAAAAAAACTGCGTTGAAATAAACCAAAACACTGCTTAGAAGTCGGAACCTTTATGAAACAGACTAGACTTCGGTACAGCTGTTTCAGGCACAACAAATACAGCAACAGCGGAGGAGCAGGAGCCCGAGGTGCTGAGGGCAGGCGGTGCCGGACAGGCGCTGCCCGAGGGCTGTCCCTGCCCTGAGCCGTGCCACGGGCACCGCACACGGGCGGGCGCTGCTCCTGCCGCAGGAGAGCCACACGGAGGGCCAGCACGGCTGGACGGACGGAGCGGCCGAGCCGAGCATCCCCGCAGGCAGAGTCCCACCTGCTCCTCGCTGGCACAGCGGCACCGCCACGGGCGCTCAGCGCTGCGCACTGCTCCCACGGAGTTCACGCGAGTCCGGGTAAAAAGGGGCAGAGCCCGTCCATCTTCCTCTCCCGGCCCGGCGCTGCCCCACACTCGCCCCCACCGTCAACACCTGCAGCGACCGCATCCCCTCCCGCAGGGACTCTGCTGCCGAACCGGCTGCCATAGGACACGGCCCGTCAGGGCACCGCGCACGGACAGACCGTCCCGCCTGCCGCCCCCACGGCAGCCCCGCAAACAAGGGACAGCCCAACACAACCCAGCCCTCGCCCGCCCCGGAGGCCGCGGCGCACGGCGCAGCTCCCGCCTCACTCACCGCGGAGCCGGCGGACGGAGCGGCGCAAGCGGCGAGCGCGCAGCCCGG